CAAACAAGACTAGTGTCTGCTAATACTAGCTGATAGAATCAAAAAGGGAGAGAACGATCCATCATGGGAAGCGGGATACACAGCAGACTCATAGAATGGCAGATGTCCTAAATAGCACTCTGGCCTCAGAATCAGCCCTTAAGGCATTTGGATATGGCTGAAGAGCCCATGAGAGTATTTCAGGCATGGAAAGCCAAGACACTCTGGAAAAAAAAAAAAAAGACCTAAATGAAAGATCTGTGTGAGTGAGATCCCAGTGGAAAGAACAGGGCCATCAAAGAAGGAGGTACCTTTCTCTGAAGGGAGGAGAAAGCTTCCACTTTGACTATGACCCTGTCGGAATAAGATCGAAGTCGGCGAACTCAAAAGGCTTCCATAGCCTTGGCAACTCATGACTAGAGCCTAGGGAGATTACTGACACCATAAACAAGAGTGTCAAATTGTTAAGTCAACAACAGGAGTCATGGTGTACTTACTTCTCATTTGGGATCTGTCCTTAATGTGTTGTCCAATGTGAAGTAATGCTATAACTAGTACTGAAACAGTATTTTACACTTTGTGTTTCTGTGTGGGTGCAAACTGATGAAATCTTTACTTAATATATACTAAATTGATCTTCTGTATATAAAAATAATTGAAAACGAATCTTGATGTGAATGGAATGGGAGAGGGAGTGGGAGATGTGAGGGGTGCGAGTGGGAGGGAAATTATGGCGGGGGGGAAGCCATTGTAATCCATAAACTGTACTTTGGAAATTTATATTTACTAAATTAAAAAAAATCAACATAAATGGATCAAGGATCTAAATCTATGATCTGATACCATAGAATTTCTAGAGGGAATCTGCAAGACATTGGCATAGGCAAAGACTTCTTGAAAAAGATCCCAGAAGCACAGGCAATTAAATCCAAAATAGACAAATGGGTGGTTACATCAAGCCAAGAAGCTTCTGCACTGCAAAGGAAACAACAAAGTGAAGACGCAATCAACAGAATGAGATAATGTATTTGCAAACAATGAAATTGATAAAGGGTTAACATCCAGAAGCAAGAAACTCAACAACAACAAAACATACAATCCAGTCAAAAAATGGAGAAAGGACTTGAACAGCCATTTTTCAAAGAATAAAATTCAAATGGCCAACAGACACTTGAAAAACTGTTCAGAACAACTAGCCATCAAGGAAATGCAAGTAAAAACCACAAAGAGGTTTCACCTTACCCTAGTTAGAGTGGCTCTCATCCAAAAATCACAAAACAATAAATACCAGTGAGGATGTGGGGAAAAGGGTACCATAATATACTGTTGGTGGAAATACAAACTAATACAACCATTATGGAAGACAACATGCAGACTCCTCAGAGATCTAAAAATAGAACTACCATATGACTCAGACATCCCACTCCTGAGAATTTACCTTATGGAAATGAAACCAGCATACGAAAGCGTTATTTGTACCCCCCATGTTTATTGTAGTTCAATTCACAACAGCTAAGAAATGGAATCAGAACAGATGTCCATCAGTTGATGACTGGACAAAGAAAACATGGCATAAATGCATTATGGAATACTACTCAGCCATAAAAAAGAATGAAATCCTGTGTTATGCAACAAAATGGATGCAACTGGAAATCATTATTCTTAGTGGAATAAGCCAGTCTTAAAAAGACGAATATCATATGTTTTCTCTGATAAATGGCAGCTAATATATAATGCAAAAATATATGTAGGAATGAAACAGTCACTTTGGGATATTTTGTCATTTTTAGCTCATGTTTATACTCTTGTGGAACCATCATCTCCTATTTTTCTTGTTACATATTATAATTATTGGGAAACTAAGCCTGTGAATTATGTCTTTGCCAAAAGTGATGAAGAGAGGAGAGGGAAAAAAGGACTGGGTTGGGGGAACAGGGGAGTGAGGGAAGTGTGGTTGTCTTCTTGGAACTGTACCTATGGAATGCATAAAATCTGTTCTCTTTATATTAATCAAAAAAATTTTTAAATAAAATCTAAAGTAAAGAGTCTAAAGAATAGACATTTGTTGCTGATTGAAAAGCTTATCAAGATTATTGATTTATAAGGCTGGCACTGTGGCATAGCAGGTAAAGCTGCCGCCTTCAGTGCCAGCATCCCATGTGGGCACTGGTTCGCATCCCAGCTGCTCTACTACTGATCCAGCTCCCTGCTAATAGCCTGGGAGGGCAGTGGAAGATGGCCAGAGTGCTTAGGCCCCTTCACCCACATGGGAGACCTGGAAGAAGCTCTGGCTCCTGGCTTCAGACTGGTGCTGCTCCAACCATTGCAGCCAACTTGGGAGTGAACCAGTGGATGGAAGACCTCTTTCTATCTCTTTCTTTCTCTCTGCCTCTCCTCTCTCTGTTTAACTCTGCCTTTCAAATAAATAAATAATTTTTTTGCCAGGCAAAGTTAGACAGTAAGAGAGAGAGAGACAGAGAGAAAGGTCTTCCTTCCATTGGTTCACCCTCCCAAATGACCTCTACAGCCAGTTCTACGCTGATCCGAAGCCAGGAGCCAGGTGCTTCCTCCTGGTGTCCAATGGGTGTGCAGGGCCCAAGCACTTGGGCCATCCTCCACTGTACTCCCGGGTCACAGCAGAGAGCTAGACTGGAAGAGGAGCAACCGGGACAGAATCCGACGCCCCAACCAGGACTAGAACCTGGGGTGCCGGCGCCACAGGCTGAGGATTAGCCTAGTGAGCCACAGCGCCAGCCCATAAATAATTCAAAAAAAAAAAAAGATTAGTGATATAGAAATACAAGTTGAAACCAGAATAAGACATTATCTCACTCCAGTTTAAAAAAAAAAAAAGTCTATAAACAAAAAGAAAAAAAAATCGCATTTGCTAGCAAGGATGTGGAGAAAAGGGAACCCTAGGCACTGTTGGTCAGAATGTAAATTAGTACAGCTACTGTGGAAAGTAGAATGGAACTTCTGCAAAAGACAGAAAACAAATGTACCACTTGATACAGGGATCACTTTTCATTATGTATCGAGAAGAAATGAAATCAGCTTATCAGAGAGACATTTGCACTCCCATATTCACTGCAACACTATTCACAGTGGCCAAAATATGGAATCAATTTGATGAATGAATAAAGAGAATATAAATAGAATGGAATATTATTCAGCTATTTAAAAAGGAATAAAATCCTGTCACATGCACAAAATGGATAGAACTAGAGCTCATTATGTAAAGTAATGTAAGTCAGATAGAGAAAGACACACACCACATACTCACTTCCACATGCGACAGCTTTAACAGGTTGATCTGAAGGGGCTGGCGCTGTGGTGCAATGGTTTAAGCCACTGCTTGCAACACCAGCATCCCTTATGAAAGTGCTGGTTCAAGTCCTTGTCACTCTACTTCCAACCCAGCTTCCTGCTGATGTTCCTAGGAAGGCAGCAGATGGCTCAAGTGCATGAGTCCCTGCCACCCATGCAGGACACCAGGATAGAATTCCCAGCTCATGGCTTTGACCTATCCCAGAACTGGTTGTTGTGACCATTTGAGGAGTGAACCACAAGACAGAACATGTCCCTCTCTCCCTCTTCCTGTCCCTCTCTCTGTCACTCTGCCTTTCAAATAAATAAATAAATCCTTTTGAAGTTGATCTTAACATAGAATAGTGATTACTAGAGGCTAAGAAGGTTGGGAAGAGGGAGGATAGAAGGTAGGTACCCAACCTCACTAGTACACAGTAACTTTAAATAGTTAAAATCATTAAAATGATAGCAGTACATACTTCTTAACTACTTGCTTAACAAAGACTTAAATCGGAGATTGGAGCTGTGGCATAGTAGGCTAAGCCTCCATTTGCTGTGCCAGCATCCTATATGGGCACTGGTTCTTATCCCACTGTTCATCTTCTTGTCCAGCTCTCTGCTATGGCCTGGGAAAGCCATGGCTAAAGCGCCTGGGCCCCTGGACATACATAGAAGACCCAGAAGAAGCTCCTGGCTCCTGCTTTCTGATCAGCCCAGTTCTGGCCATTTTGGGGAGAGAACCAGTGGATGGAAGGCCTTTCTCTCTGTCTCTTCTTCTCTCTGTCTGTAACTCAACCTCTCAAATAAATAAATAAAATCTTTAAAAACATTTAAAACAAAGTTTGACAAAACATATACAAGTTTAATATCTTTTCATTTGATTATTATTTATAGCCTATATTATTACACTAAACTATTTAATGGAGCATTCAACCTTTGGCTATAATATAAATTACTATATAATGAAAATTAAAACTATGTCATCTCAAAAATAATAAGTAAAATATTAAGATAGGTGGCCAGCGCCATGGCTCACTTGGCTAATCCTCTGCCTGTGGCGCCGGCACCCCAGGTTCTAGTCCCAGCTGGGGCGCTGGATTCTGTCCTGGTTGCTCCTCTTCCAGTCAAGCTCTCTGCTGTGGCCCGGGAAGGCAGTGGAGGATGGCCCAAGTGCTTGGGCCCCACACCTGCATGGGAGACCAGGAGGAAGCACCTGGCTCCTGGCTTTAGACCGGCGCAGCGTGCCGGTCATAGAGGCCATTTGGGGGGTGAACCAATGGAAGGAAGACCTTTCTCTCTGTCTCCCTCTCTAAAAATAAAAAATTTTTAAAAATAAAAAATATTAAGATAAGTAAAGAAAGGATATGAGAACTCTGTACTACCCACTGAATTTTTCTATAGGTCTAAAATTACTATAAAGTCTACTAATAAAAAATTTTTTAAAAAAGGTATCCAAACCCAAATAAAAGGAATAAGATTTACTGTTCCTCAGCACAGTGTGGAGATAATAGTTGCAAGAAAAACACATCATACATCTTAGTAGAACTAGAAAAGAGGGGCTTAAAGGCTCCAAATACAAACAAATAATAAGGTGATGAAAACACTAGTGATCTGATTTGATCCATTCATACTGGAAACATGCACCTCACATAAATGTACAAGCACCAAACATTATTCAAAAAATTTAAAAATAAAACCTTTTAAAAGACTACCTGTATGAGAGGGATGAAAACCATCAAATACTGAAATCATCATTTCATAGATATGTCCAGCTGCAATCATCTCCAAGTCCTCATAATCCAAATCTTTGGAAACCTTATAGAAGAGGGAAAGGCAAGTGCTTGGTCATTTTCATTTAGTGGGATGTAGTCTACTGAAGAAGAGCAAAGGGACATCTTGGGCTTCCTTTCTGAGTAGCTAATTTTTGAACACAGTATCCTTGTACGATAGAAAGAAAACAAGGGTCATACCCTATCTTCATTGAATGCCAATTGAGCAACCTAAGGCAAGATATTTAAGAAGAAAATATTTCGAACATACTTTTTTTTAACTTTTATTTAATGAATATAGATTTCCAAAGTACAGCTTATGGACTACATGGGCTTCCCCCACCCATGACTTCCCTCCCACCCGCAACCCTCCTTTATCCGCTCTCTCTCCCCTTCCATTCATATCAAGATTCATTTTCAATTTTCTATATATACAGAAGATCAGTTTAGTATACATTAAGTAAAGATTTCAACAGTTTGCACCCACATAGAAACATAAAGTGAAAAATACTGTTTGAGTACTAATTATAGCATTAAATTTCAATGTACAGCACATTAAGGACAGAGATCCTACATGAGGAGTAAGTGCACAGTGACTCCTGTTGTTGACTTTACAAATTGACACTCCTGTTTATGGCATCAGTAATCTCCCTATGCTCCAGTCATGAGTTTCCAAGGCTATGGAAGCCTTTTGAGTCGAACATACTTTTAAGTGATTAAGCACTATAAGAATGTAAATTAGGGGTCAACATTTTGGCCCAGCAGCTTAAGCCGCTGCCTGTAATACCAGCATCCATTATGGGTTCTGTCTGAAGTCCTGGTTGCTCCACTTCCAATACAGATCCCTGCTAAAGCACCCAGGAAAGCAACCAAGGGTGGCCTAAGTGCTTGGGTTCCTGACACCCATGTGGGAGACCCAGCTAGATTTTGGACTCCTCCCTTCAGCTTGGCCCAGCCCTAGTTGTTGCAACCACCTGGGTAGTGAACCAGTGGATGGAAAGCCTCACTTTTTCTCTGTCTCTCCCTCTCTCTCTCTATAACTTTAGTCTTCAAATAAATAAATAAGTCTTTCTTAAAAATGTAAATTATTCTCATTATGATAAATCATCATTTTAAAAATATTTACTGAGTAATAATTAGGTGCCATGTACATTTTTAGGCAATAGGGAGATAGTAAGTGACATGATCTCATATCAAATAATTGAAGATTATCTTAATTTTCTACCTTTGGCATGAATCTCAGATGGTAAAAATTTGAATGGATCAATGTAATTTCAAGCACCCAGATGTTTGAGAACAATACATTTTGTTAAATTTAGTATTAAATTCAGATTAAACCATTCATTCATTAAAGTATATTGAGTACCTGCCAAGCATAGGGGTTTGAGAACACAAATATGAGCCAATCTGAAGCTTTTAATTGAGCAAAATCAACAGTGAAATAGGCAGTTACAACAGAGTATAAAAACTGTGTTGGAGATGCACAACTTATAATATGCATCTTCCACAGGGAGAACTAAGGCAGTTATGGTAGAAGAGAACTATTAGAAATAAGTGACATTTTGTACTCGCTTCGGCAGCACATATACTGAAATAAGTGACATTTTATACCTAGAAGATAGTGATGCAAATACAGAAATTAATTAGAGGTGAGCAATGGATGATGGTAGCTACTGAGATATTGAATGAACCAGTGTGAAAACCGAAATCTTAGATTAGCATATTGACAAATCTCCACTTCCACCCAAGCCCCAAGTTATAAAGTGATAGTTGGCACTGGCTTTCAAAATGAGCGACAACCCAGGAAACTTTGGGCTGAATTCCTGATCTTCCAAAATTCACAACATATGCCAGAGCATATGCCAGAACATGTGGAGTTTGTCAAGAAAATTTGGGTGGAGGGATAAAGAAGGAGGAAAGTCGTTGAGTTTCTCAACCACATATCTGATGAAGGGTGGGGACTGTTTGGTGATATTTGGGTTAAGGAACATTTACACCAACCAAACAGGTATTGCTGTATTGAAATAAAGACCTGTAGGGGGGCCGGTGCTTTGGCGCAGCAGGTTAAAGCACTGGCATGCAGTGCAGGCATCGCATATGGGCACTTGTTTGAGTCCCAGCTGCTGCTTTCTAATCCAGCTCTCTGCTGTGACCTGGAAAGCAGTAGATGACCCAAGTCCATAGGCCCCTGCACCCATGTAGGAGACCTGGAGGAAGCTACCAGCTCCTGGCTTCAGATCAGCTCAGCTCTGAAGACACCTCTCTCTCTCTCTCTCTCTCTCTCTCTCTCTCTCTCTCTAACTCTGTCTTTAAAATAAAATCTTAAAAAAAAAAAACGCAGAAATTAGGAGTCAGCAAAAAAGTATAGCTTCCAGTATAGAATCTCATTTTGGAAACACAAAGAAACCAAAGCTTACTATGTCCATCCCCTTCAATGGAAAGCTTAGAATCTCAAGAGAAGAGAAGGGAGGAGGCAAGAAATCACACCCAAAGCCAGGAGAATGAACCATATTCACACATGTAGTTTCACACACTTAACTCAAAGGAAATCATCATGCATTTTAGCCTTTGTGTCAGTTCTCCAGCTCAGTAGAAAGAACGCTATGTTGTGCTCATTATAAAAAAGGCTGGAATGACAGCAGGCACCAAGACAATGAAAGATTGCCCAAATGCCTTCCAGCAAAGATAGCAGAAGAGTCCTGAATTCCTTTCTACTGTGTCAGAGCTCCTCTTGCTGAATGTTCTGCAGCCACAAACTGACTCCATCCCCTTGGAAAAGCCCCCAGGAGTGACAGCAACAGGTGCTCACCTGAATGCAATGTTCAGCATTGGGCACTTGCTCAAAGACTTGTGCAGGGCCAACAGGGCCTGAGATGGGAGCATAACGGATTGTATCAGGAGGCTCATCAAGATCCTGACACCTGAGTTTTGCAACCACTGTGCCTTTTGCAATCACCTCCTTGCTTGTGTACCTGTTTAAATTTTTCAGAAGAAAAATCACTTCACATGAATATCCTTTTAAAATGAAAAATTCCCTCCTGGTAATCAAGAAGATGCCTGGGTGTGGATGCCTTGTCCAGCCTGGAGTAGGCAGAAGACCTTTCAAGCACCATCTGGAAAGGTATTTCCCAAAGGTTCTGTGAATTCGGTAAGGTCCTCTTTTGCTGGGAGTACCTCTCCTGCAACCAGCTGGGCACTTGCTTGGGAAGCAAAGTTAATCAAGGCTGTCACCTCAATGGGGAAGGTCTGAGAATGAGATCATTCTCTGGGATTGTTGCAACCTGTGCATCTACTGGTATGGTCACAAGAGAGAAGCCTCACCACTCTCCAGTCACAGCACACTTCCTACTTTGAGACAGCCGTTTCTTTGCTGTGCTCTCTCTGCTTCAGTTGCTCACTCTTAAGACTTCAAGCTCTGGGGCCAGCACTGCACAGTAGTAGGCTAAGGCTCTGCCTGCAGTGCTGGCATCCCATATGGGCACCAATTCATGTCCTGCCTGCTCAACTTCCAATCCAGTTCTCTGCTATGGCCTGGGAAAGCAGTGGAAGATAGCCCAAGTGCTTGGACCCCTGAACCCATGTTGGAGACCCTAAAGAACCTCCAAGCTCCTGGCTTCAGACGGGCCCAACTCCAGCCATTGCAGCCATTTGGGGAGTGAACCAGTGGATGGAAGGACTCGTTCTGTATCACATATCAGAGTGCCAGTTCCAGTCCTTACTGCTCTGTTGCCAATCTAGCTCCCTCCTAATGTTCCTGGGAAGGCAGTGGAAGACATCTGCAGTGTTTGGGCCCCTGACATGTATGCAGGAGACCTGGATGGAGCTCCTGGCTGGGAGGAGTGAACTAGCAGGTGAAAGGTATCTCTGTCTCTCTCTCCTTATATCTCTATTTCTCTACATTTAAAATAAATCTCAAAAATATAAAATCCATACAAGTTGTTATGTTTATGAAGAGTATATTCGTTTAAAACAGAAGTGGGAGAACAAGAGGTCAGTCTGATGGTGAACCCCAAGTCCAGTTGGGTCAATAAATAAGGCAGAACTTGTATTCACAACCCACCTATCTCTCCTCCTGCCCACCTGTCTCTACTCACCTAATCAGATACTGATCACAGAAAGGGGAGTTGTCATTAATGCCATGGATGTAGGCAGTCACTGGAATTGCTGCACACCTCTGGTCACGGTCACAAGCCTTAATGGAGAAGGGCTGTACACGTGGAAACCCAGCTTGCTCCACATCCAGACGAGTAGCGGTAACCACAGTCCCATGCTCTGTAACAAAACAGCACATTTTGTACAAAATGATGCATGCAATCATTTTAAAAATTACTTTATTATATATATAGCAATGAAAAAGATAAATTACAAATCATGCCCCATTTGCTAGAACTAAGGGATTGATTCAAAGTACAGTCATGGTGTTTAATCATTTGTCACAAAAATATACTTATTAATCATATTGTGTTAGCTGACAGCAAAAAAAAATTATTTTGGCTTAGGGAAACAGAGAAAGCTTTGTTGGATACAAAGCCCTTAGGTTAGATCTTGAAGATTATAAAGGACTGGTGGTGAACGGAAGGAGATCATTCCCCATAAACAGACTATTTTAAGTTAAGCATGATACTGCAGGAGGCACTACACTACCTGAAATTAAAATATACTATTAAGCTACAGCAATTAAAACAGCATAGTATTAGCACAAAAACAGATCCACAGACCAAAGGAACAGAGCAGAGACTGTAGAACTAAACCCACACATCTATTGCCAATTGATCTTTGGCAAAGGTGCTATGGACACACATTGGAAAAAATATTCTTTTAAGTAAATGATGCTGGGAAAATTATAAATCCACATGAAGAAGAAAGAAACTAGACTGTCACCATTTATAAAAACCAGCTCAAAATGTATTAAAGACCTAAACTGAGACCTGAAATTTTGAGAGGAAACCCTTCAGAACACTGGAAGAGGCAAAAAAAAATTTCAGGATCAGACCCTTAAAGCACAGAAAATAAAAGCAAAAATAGACAAATGAGATTCCATCAATGATGAAATTTTTTATTTCATCAAACCAAAAAGGTTCTGCACAGCAAAGGAAACAATCAATAGATCAAAAAGACAATTAACAGAATCAAAGGAAGTATTTGCAAGCTATACATCTTACAAGGCACCAACATGCAGATCGCATAAAGAACTCAAACAACTCAAAAGCAAAGAGAGAGAGAGAGAGAGAGAGAGAGAGAGAGAGATACAACTTAAAAAGGGGCAATAGATCTAAACAGACATTTCTCACAGGGAGGTACACACATGGCCAACAGGTACATGGACAAATGTTCAAAATCACTAATCATCAGGGAAACATAAATCAAAACCACGTTGAGATATTACCTCACTCCAGTAAGACCTGCTGGTATCAAAAAGACAAAAGATAAAAATCACTATAAAGGATGTGGGGAAAAGGAGACCCTTGCACACTGCTGGCAGGAATGTAAATTAGTACAGCCTTGGTGGAAAACAACATAGAGGTCCCTCAAAAAACTAAACACAGAACTACCATAAGAGCCAATACTCCCACTCCTGGGTGTACATCCAAGGGTAATGAAATCCATCTGCTGAACAGACATCCGTACTCACATGTTTACTGCAGCACTATTCACAATAGCCAGAAATGGAAACCACCGAAGCGTCCATCCATTGATGAATAGAGAAAGAACATGGGGCACCTATTCACAATGAAGTATTACTCAGTCATAAAAAAAGGATGCAACTCTGTCATTTGCAGCAATGTGGATGGAACATCACTATATTAAGTGAAATAAGTCAAGCCCAGATAAACAAATATCACATGATGTCACTCATATGTGGAGTCTTTTAAAAAAACAGGTTATCTCATAGAAGTTAAAAATATAATGATGGTTATCAGAGACCGGGGAGGGAAGGAGAGGGAAGTGATTGAGAAAGGCTGATTGATGAATACTAGGTTATAGCAGCTAGAGAGGTGAAGAGTTTCTGGGGTTGCACTGTACAGTAGGGTAAGGATAGATAATGGTAATACACTGTATACTTCTCTATTAGAAAATGAGAAGGCAGGATTTTGGGATGTTTTCAACTAGGAAGATATGGTCAGTGCCTGAAAGAATGAACATGTTTACCTGGACTGAACATTAAAGTGTACATGTTTTTAAAAATCACATATTACAGCCAGCGCCACAGCTCACTTGGCTAATCCTCCGTCTGTGGCGCCGGCACACCAGGTTCTAGTCCTGGTTGGGGCACTGGATTCTGTCCCGGTTGCTCCTCTTCCAGTCCAGCTCTCTGCTGTGGCCAGGGAAGGCAGTGGAGGATGGCCTAAGTGCTTGGGCCCTGCACCCGCATGGGAGACCAGGAGGAAGCACCTGGCTCCTGGCTTCGGATTGGCGCAGTGCGCTGGCCGTAGCGGCCATTTGGAGGGTAAACCAATGGAAGGAAGACCTTTCTCTCTCTCTCTCTAACTCTGCCTGTCAAAAAAATTACATATTACTCCATAAATATACACATTTTTACATACTTTAAATTTTTAAAAATTTTAATAAAGCATGGTACAGAATCATGGCTCACTGTACTTCCTTTCACACATCCAACCACCCATTCATTCTACAAACATTTATTAAGCAGCAACCCTGTGCCGGCAACTGTGTTAAGTTGTATCACGAAGTGAAGTCCTGGCATTCACAGAATTTACAACAGGGGATGGGAGACAAACACTACGCATGTATAGAAGAAAGAAAAATCCAAGTAGATGTATTAGGGTAACAAGAACTGTAACGTGACAAAAAGAAAAACATCAACTGGTCAGATCCTGAGCTCCTGAGGAAAGCAGCCTCGTTGTTGACTTGCAGCAGCATGGAGGACTGGGACAAGGCTGTACAGCAGACAAGGGCCAGAGAAAACGGGCACTTGAAGGTGAGGCAAGTGGTCAGGGTCGCGTTCCAACTGCAAAGGAAAATCCCAGGATGACTGTACACTGGGGAGGATATGATCCCATTTGACTTGTATTTAAAATCCATTCTAGCTGTTCTGTGGAGACTCCTGGAGGGGGTAGGGGTGAGAGCAGAAATCCAGTCATGCAGGTAAGGGGGAAGGGTGGTCATCTTGGTTAGGCCTCCAACACAAGCAGACCTGGAGGTAAAAATCCAAGTGCAGGTAGTTTATTTGGAGGGTGATTCAGGGCACTATGGCATGGGGAAAGTGAGACAAGGAAGGGAAAGTCAGTAAGCAATCTCACCTATCAGATAAGTCACCAGCGCAGACACCGGGATCCAGCATCAGAGTTCCTGGGTTTAATTCCCAGCTCCAGCTCCTGACTCCAGCTTTGTGCTGATGCAGACCCAGAGAGGCAACAGTGATGGCTCAGGTAATTGTATTTCTGCCATCCATATGGGACACCTGAACTGGGTTCCCAGCTCCAAGCTGCAGCCTTACCCAGCCCTGGTCATGGTGGACATTTAGGGAGGGGCCCCACAGATAAAGTCTCTCTCCCCGCCCACCCCACTCCACCTTTTCAAATAAGCATTTTTTAAATACATCATCCAATAAGTTAGAATTATGTGCAAGTTCAGCTTAAGGTTTCTGCAGAACTCCAGAAGCCAGTGTAGAACACACACTCAAAACTGCTCCAGGCCAGGCACAAATAGATGGTGTATTTATTTATACAGCAACTCCCAACATTCCCTGACTGACAGCTAGGAGGGGGTAAGTGTTTCTCTAACCTGCTGTGTAGATGGGAGGGGTGGAGCAGTGTCAAGTCCCAAATAATCCTGCAAGCAAAGAAATGCAGATACTAGCAGTTGGAAGTCAGGCCTGCACAGGCAGGACTGAGGCTTTAGCAGCCTCTGCTGTGACACCTGACCTGGTACATGTACTCGGTATGACCACCTGCTTTCCTATTCAGCCGAGAAGAAGCCACAGATACCCATGAACTGATCCATCCCAGCCTCAGCCACAGCTGATTGGATAAGGAGTGAATGACTGACTGAAGCAGGTCCAATCAGATTCGCTTTCACAAACCTGTGGCCCAGAAGCAGGGAGAAGAGTTGCCTTGGATCCAACAAGATGGATGATGACATAGAGGACTAACACTGCCAATGCGCAGCAGCTGTGAAAAGTCACGCAGGAGCCCATGAAGAAACAAAGAACTGGGTCTCCCAGAGAGCTATTCAGGAAATGCCTTCTTCAGGGAATGAAGACCCAACATCTGCCCTCAAGAAACTCAGTCTGGGCCAGAAATACCAACAGGTGATGGCACTAGCATGTAATGAGAGAACAGCTTCCAACCTACCTTTGTCAACTATAAAATAAACGTTCCACGGCTCCAGTTCAAAAGCCAACTCTCCCAAGTTGTCTTCATCAGTTGCTTCACATAGTCCAACTGTTTTCCCAATTGGGATTTCTTCATCCAGTGTAAAGCTGGCTTTATGGCGCAGGGTTGAGTTCACAGAAGTAACACTCGCGACAGCGTTTTCAATACTGAATAAGCTTGTTTCACAGGAGAAGATTGTTAGAGTGGCATTTGCTTGTTGGGTATTGCTTTCTACACATGAAGGGGTGAAGGAGCATGAGGTTGGAGACAGCCATGATGAAAGTGGAAGTTATGACCACATAGTACTAGCTAACCTGTTTATGCAGCACTTACCTACAGTGCACACTACCAAGCACTTTCACTATGTTACACCATTTACTCCTCACAGCAGCCCTAGGAGGTAGGTACCATTTTACCTCCATTTAACAGATGTGTGAACTGAGGCTGTAAGACATAAAGTGACTTTCAGAATTCAACATCTATGTGGCGGAGAGAGGGTTTGATGCCACGTCTGTCCGGCTCCAGAGCCCATGTGTTTAATCACTGTGCTCTTATCCTTCTATGGCAAGACACAGCTTGGTAAATTTGCTGTCCCTCAGCATGGCAAGATAAGCTCCCTAGTGATACTGTTAGCCATAGTCTCCCTTGAGGGTAATGATAACCAAGCATGTCACAAAGTAAGAACATATCCCGCAAATAACTTACTCTGTTGCAGTTTGAATTTTAGACTTTAAAACTATTGTGTTTTCAGTTGTTAAGAAAATGTTTGCTTGGGAATTTTATACCTTAAATGGATGTTTACATCTTACTTGCTTATTTTCTTTTTTAAGAAAGAAAGAAAGAAAGAAAGAAAGAAAGAAAGAAAGAAAGAAAGAAAGAAAGAAAGAAAGGAAGGAAGGAAGGAAGGAAGGAAGGAAGGAAGGAAGGAAGGAAGGAAGGAAGGAAGAAAGAAAGAAAGAAAGAAAGAAAGAAAGAAAGAAAGAAAGAAAGAAAGAAAGAAAGAAAGAAAGAAAGAAAACTTATTCAGTCATAAATTTGAGAAGCTGCATTTTTTAAATTCAGTGTCAAGGCCAAGTTAAAATATTATGTTCTGTTTCATTACCTGCATGTCATGATGGGATCTTGGTTGTTGACATTGACAAGGAAAACCTTGAGATTTCCAGCAGTGAACAGTCCTCCAGGATCAACCACTTTAATAATCAAGGAAAAACTGAAAATGCAGCCACAGGAAAGACAGCTGAGATGTCCCAGCAACAAACAGGCTTTCGGCAAAATTCCATCTACTGGGCTTAACTGACCACTTACAACAATTGACTCATCTAATTAAAATGTCAGTCTGACCCTTTATTTTAACAGTTGGAAATGGCTAACATGGTTGTTACGAACCAAATTAGTCAACTCAGTTGAAAGGACAGGCAGCAAAATCTGTGAATGCCCATAAATAGCAAAAAAGCAAAGGGAATTCATTGGCATGTTGTAGCAAACAAAGTGTACAGGTGGCTCTGAGAGCTCACCCTTCAAGCACTGATTTTTTAAATTACTGAAAACTGACAAATGCGAAGGAAAGGGTGTTAAGAACATTTCTTTTTTTTTTTTTTCATTTATTTGACAGAGTTAGAGAGAGAAACAGAGAGAAAGGTCCTCCTTCCATTGATTCACCCCCAAAATGGCTGCTATGGCCGGAGCTATGCTGATCCGAAGCCAGGAGCCAGATGCTTCTGCCTGGTCTCCCATGTGGGTGCAGGGGCCCAAGCACCTGGGCCATCCTCCATTGCCTTCCTGGGCCACAGCAGAGAGCTGGACTGGAAAAGGAGCAACCGGGTCTAGAACCGGCGCCCATCTGGGATGCTGGTGCTGCAGGCGGAGGATTAACCAAGTGAGCCATGCTCCAGCTAAGAACATTCCAAGCCCAACTGAATGGCTATGGGGAAATAGTTGGGTGGTTAGACGATTAATCAGTTTTTTTAATTTAGCAAAGATCAGTATGGGTCTGGGGAATGACAGTACTTGAAATGAGGAAACAAAGTTCACTCTTTGAACAAAGCATGTTTGCATCCATCAATAAATGCTTTTATATGCTCAGTTCTCCCAATTTGCCTGGAACTGTCCAGCTTCTATGACACTGAAATCCCACATCCCAGGAAACTCTTTAGTTATAAACAAACCAGAGGAGTCGGTTCCCATTGGAGGCCAGGGGGTGCTTTCTGTTTCAGCTTGAAATGTATTGATAAGTCCACCATGATCATTTTCCTTCTATGTACCCTATAAATAAAACCAGTTCTAACTTTCCCCATAATTCACAACTTTCCTTATCAAAAAAAATCATTATTTATGAGACAACCCTTGACAAAAACCACAGTCAATCCACTTCTCAGTTATTTTGAAAATAACTCGGAGGAGTCTTCATGACAAGCATGGCAGGGATCCGGAGTGGGCAAGAACCAAAGCAGTGAGGAGCTCAGACTAATTTGGTACAGCTGAACCCTGGAGAGCTGACGACAAAGATGTAAGGGAGCCATGAACCTTTCTCGCTCCTTCACTGGGCTCTGAACGAGCAATTTCACAGCCCCTGTGCCTCCTCAGATGAGAGCAAATTGATAAGACCCAATGAGGCAGTCTAAAATTTCTTTTATCTCCACTTAAAGATCTGCTCACTGACCCTGCTCTACAGCTAAAAAGGAATCTAAGCAATGATGTATTCTGGGTAAACTTCAGTGAGAAGCCACTGAAACACTTGAGCTGAATAACTGCATATACTGGAAGCAGAACTTCCCTTTTCCAATGTTAGCTGCTTTGATTTCAAATGTACTAAGAGGCCGGCACCGCGGCTCACTAGGATAATCCTCCGCCTGCGGCCCCGGCACATCAGGTTCTAGTCCCAGTTGGGGAGCCAGATTCTGTCCTGGTTGCCCCTCTTCCAGGCCAGCTCTCTGCTGTGCCCCAGGAAGGCAGTGGAGGATGGCCCAGGTCCTTGGGCCCTGCACCTGCATGGGAGACCAGGAGGAAGCACCTGGCTCCTGGCTTCGGATCAGCACAGTGCACTGCGTAGCGGCCACTTGGGGGGTGAACCAATGGAAAAAGGAAGCCCTTTCTCTCTGTCTCTCTCTCTCACTGTCTAACTCTGCCTGTCAAAAAAAAAAAAAAAGAAAAAGAAAGAAAAGAAAGGGGAACACTCATCAACAAAAATAGTTTTAGCTCTCATGGCAGACTTTTACTTCATTTTTGTTAACAAATCTTAAGATTTGTAAATACCTTGAAGCCATATCATCATTTTCCCATGGGCAGACCAAAAAGAAAAGGACAAAGAAACTGGGGTGGATGTTATTCATGAGTCCCAGAGCTGGTTGTGGCCCAGATAATTCAAAGAAAAGTACAACATCAGGTACAGGTGCTTGGGTTCATGGGAAAATAAACAATGATTTCAGTAATTTGTACCCCAAAATCATATAAAGATAATACAAATTTAGTCAAGCACCAACATTCTTCTACCTTTGCAATGATCCCAGTTTTGAACTCTGAATATCTTTCACGGAGAGGGATCTCAAACAACATATGAGCTCCTAAGCTTTTGGCAGCTGCACTTCAAAGGATGCTAACAGCTAGGGTAGCTACCACCCTCATCTCCCACAAGAGGAAAGACCTATTCATGAGTTGATTGGAATGGCTTCAAGATCCCTTTTCTTGTGTTGTGAAGCACTTTGATGAGGAGCATATGATTGAAAAGGGTGGTTATAAAAGTCATTATAAAAATAAAAATAATAATAACTTGGACCAATGGCTCCCCACTTGGCAGATACAGAGGAAATAAGTAGCAAATGTCAGTGCCTTATCTATTCAAAGATGCAGAATTGCAGTGAGAACAAATTCTGTGACGTAGGTATCCAGAGAGAAATCCCACCCACTCACACAGTGGGATGCAAACACCGCCCCTGGAGTCATACTGATGTTTTGCTCTGAGGGGCATGGGTGATGCACAAAGCCCCATCTCCAAGCCTGGCACCTAAACCAGTGGTGGTGCAATAAAAGTTAAATGCTGATTTCACTTTTGAGGCAATGTCAAAAGCATCATCATTTTAGAAGCACAGGAAAGCCGGGGGGTGGGGGGGATATCCTCAGGGAGGAAAACAGGAACCCAAGGCCTGGCATTTCAAGTGAAAACCCTGGTGCAGTGTTTACCTTCTTGCTTCACTCTCAAAATCAAACACCGTGGCTGTGGAGATGGCACCCATGCTGTTGATTGTGAAGCCAGAGCCCTCCGGCGAAATGAAGTACTGTATATGGGACAGTAAAGAAAATGCAAAATATTGCAACGATATCAATGTGTTCCCTGGCCAGATTCCACATCTGCAAGAACCAGCAATCTCTTTGTGCCCTGGACCCCCACCCTTCCCTCCCCCGCACACAACAGGTGCTGACAGGTACTGCTTGCCAGTGATGATGATGGCATTATACTCCATGCAACTGACTTCTCGCCAACCTGCCCTTAAATATTAATAGTGAATTTTTCTGACCCCTTACATTCAGCAGGTGACCCAAACCCTCCTCACAGCACTCTACCCAAAGCTACAATTAAATAAAGATAAAACTGAGTGACCTTTAGAGAAACGTGCTGTTTAAATTTTTTATCGGTTCTTATTTGAGAGAGACAGAGCTCCCATCCATGGGTTCATTCCACAAATGCTCACAATGACCAGAGATGGCCCCAGGGCCAAAGCCAGGATCTGGAACCACAATCCAGGCCTCCCATGTGGTTGGAAGGAGCCCAGTTACTGCCAACAGTACTGCTGCCTCCCTGAGTCTGCATTAGCAGGAAGCTGGAGACAGGAGACAGAGATGGGGATCAAACTTAGGCACTCTATCATGGGACATGGGTATCTTCAGGACTGCATACCCACTTCTGCGTTCTAAAATTTTATTTTTGTCTTAATTTTATCATATAGAGCAGCCTGAGTATTTAAGGAGAATGCAGGGATCATTTTGTTTGTTTCAGGCTGTTTATTTGGAGAAGTAAGGGAGTTCAGGGAAGCAGAGCAGGAAAAATATGAAATCCTGGGACATCTGTTCGTGTGAGTTTAAAAGTGTAAGTGCAAGCGACATTTTAGCAAGTTGTTTTCTTAGTATCTCATGGCCTTTCCTTCTCAACAACTTTGCTATTCTGTTCCATGCTTCAGATACATTGTGTTTTAATTGTAAGGACTCTAGGTCACAGGTACAGATGCTATCCCTGTCCTACAGACAGGAACACGGAAGCTTAGAGAATTCGAGTGGCCTCATTTGGAAGCCGGACAGCTGAGTTTGCAGTTACTTTACATTTTGCCTCTGTACTCGCCCCTCCTGGCTGCATCCCGAAGGCAAAGTTTTTGCTAATGGCGGGGAGCGGATGAGGTCAGAGTTTCTAAAGCAGATGAGAATCCAATGATTAGAAAAAGCCCGGGCAAAAATTCAGGAGAGGATTAATATCAGGAGTTAATTATACCAAGTGGTACTGACTTAATAATTGTGTAGTCCCAGAGATAATTTAATAGAGAAGATTAAACCCAAAAGGATTGCAAAGCAACCTAAAAATCATTTGGAGAAATTAGTGACCTTTAAATCCATTGATTTTCTGATGAATCATCATGTTCTGGTTAATTTTAATTTATACCATCCATCTCTACACATATAAAATAAGATACAATTGATCTCTGCTTTTTCTGTGAACAATGTAGAATATTAATATTCAGAAACCGTAGGCAAATCCATCAGATATTTACTTGTAGGGCAAACACAAGAATAACAAAGGCTGTTTTTGTGGAGGGTGGATGCAGGTTAAATTACCTACCAGGGTCCCTCCCCGCTGGATCTGCTAATACAAAAATATACATGATTTTTAAAAGACACGCACATTTACATTCGCAGCCACTCAAAAACTTGCAGTTCTAAATTCAATCTCACTGTTACACAGTTGTCAGGAGCAGCGCACTTTGAGAAGCGACATTTCTATAAGGCTTAATTTTCCATACAATGAAGTAGTCTTTTATAAAAAAAAAAAAAAAAAAAAGATGGCACTGATATGAACAACGGCTGCCCACGTGCTGGGAAGGTTTGGAGATGGTGGTTGCTAGGCAGCCAGGGCCATGTCTAGAAAAGCCACCTAAACAAAAGAGCCCCTGAAAGGGAAAACAGTCCCAGCGATGAGAAATTCACTTTCTCTGCGGCCAGGAAACAGATTCATTGTTTTTGGCCTTTTTTTTTTTCCCCTTTCTCCACTTTATCTATAATACCATCATCAGGTAGTAAAGGATCATTGCTGCCATAACAGCCGCACCCCTACAACAGCAGAGCGGGGACCCAGCACGGACCCCAGGGAAAGGCAGGGGCAAGGTGGGCTTGTCTTCGCAGCCACTTTACTCCCGGCTCTGAAAGCCTTGGTCGCAACTGTTTGCTCTCAGAGAAGCCCGGGAATTGGAAATGTCAGAGCCTGAACTTTCAAGCCAAACACAAGGAGGACCATCAAAGCCTCCTCGAGAGCACACAGCCCAGTGCTTCAAAAGCAGGGGCTTGGCAGCCGTGTCGGGATTGTTCTGTGCCCTTAGTGTGAGAAAGCAACAGCACCTTAGACTGGCCCTGTTTTGCCCTAGAATTCTGACAGGACTTAGGTTGCCCTCAAAAGCCTTGACGTTCACACTCTGCACTTTCTACTTCCTTCCAACTCTCTGCTCAGCTCTTTTCCAGAGTTATCACACTTAACCTTTCAAATGAGGTTTTCAGATGGGGAGGCTCCCTAGCCCCATCTGATAGGCAGGGAAGTTGAGGCTTACAGAGGTAAAGAAGTGTCCCAAGAATGCATAGCTAGTGAGTGGTCGTGCTGAAACTAAAACAGGGCTTTCTGACTCGAGAGACATTATGTTGTGCTGCAGGTTCATAAGAGGCTAGCTTCCTGGGAGAAAGGCACTGAGACTATTTTTAAAACATTATATTTAAATTCATTGATCCACTGGGTCACTCCCCAGATGTTCACAATGGCCAGGATTGCATTCAGGAACTCCATCTGGGTCTCCCAGGTGGGTACCAGGGATCCAACTACTTGATCCAGCACCTGTTACCTCCCAGGACCTGTGCTAACAGGAAGGTGGAGTCAGGAGCACAGAGCCAGGAATCAAACTCAGGAACACAGAATGATTTGTGGAGGGATTAAAGAAAGAATCAAGGTGAGTGAAAGCGTGGTTACAGAACAGGTAAGCAGTAACGGCTTACCAAGGTGGGGGGGGGGGGGCAGGACAGGACAGGGCACTGGCGAAAGAAAGGCCATCGAAACTGGCACCCTGGGAAACTTTAAACTTTTGGAGCTTCTGCCATACTCCTCTGTCCCACAGTGGAGGATGAACCAGGGAAGAAAACAAGAAAAGGGGCCGGCACTGTGGTGCAGTAGGTTAATCCTCCACCTGCAGCGCCGGCATCCCATGTGGACGCCGGTTCTAGTCCCAGCTGCTCCTCTTCCAATCCAGGTCTCTACTATGGTCTGGTAACGCAGTAGAAGATGGCCCAAGTACTTGAGCCCCTGCACCGGCGTGGGAGACCTGGCAGAAGCACCTGGCTCCTGCTTTCGGTTCAGTGTAGGTCCGGCTTTTGCGGCCATCTAGGGAGTGAACCAACAGAAGAAAGACCTCTCTCTCTGTCTCTCTCACTGTCTGTAATTCTGCCTCTCAAATAAATAAATAAATGATATTAAAAAAAAGAAAGAAAACAAGAAAAAGGAATCAGGGGGCCGGCACTGTGACACAGTGGGTTAAAACCCCAGCCTGCAGTGCCAGCATCCCATATGAGCTCCAGTTTCAGTCCCGGCTGCTCCACCTCGAATCCAGCTCTCTGCTAATGCACCTGGAAAAGCAGCAGAGGATGATCTAAGTCCTTGGGCCCCTGCACCCATGTGGAAGATCTGGAAGAAGCTCCTGGCTCTTGGCTTCAGATCAGCTCAGGTCTAGCCATTGCGGCCACTTGGGGAGTGAACCAGTTGATGGAAGACCTCTCACTCTCTGTCTCCAGCTCTCTCTGTAACTGTAACTCTGTCTTTTAAATAAATAAAAATTAAATAAATAATTAAAAATCTTTTAAAAAGAAAAGTAAAAGAAATCAGAAAGGTGAGGGAAAAGCCAAGAGTGCTTATTATCACAAAATAATATGAATAATAAGAGCTAATATTTACTTTTTTTAAAGATTTATTTATTTACTTGAGAAGCACAGTTACAAAGAGAGGAAGGAATGGAAGATATGGAACTTTGCTTTTCAAATAAGTAATTTAAAAAAAATCAAAAAATAAAACAAATAAAACAACTTATTTTATTATAAAAGGAACCTATTTATGCTTTCTTATGCTGATATATTATGTCCAACATAGTAGTCTAATTCAGGATCATGTTTTCTTAGAAGGAATTGATACAGAATTATGATCTGCCCTTACTTTTTCCTAACGGCAATATATTCTGTAATTTTCTGAAGTGAAAATGTTGGCTAGTCACTGATCAGCTACAAAATTTTTTATAGGAGGAGAGATGCATTTTTAAGAAAAGAGTTTCAAACTAGGAATTCTAGGCTAGGCATTCATTATGTTAATTAGCTTGAGTACTGTCCTTGAGCTATGCCGGAAGCATCAGCCCCTAAGCCTGAGCATTTTTTGCAATAGAAGTGATGGGATTTATGCTTGCCCTCAAAAGCCTTGACATTTCACATCAGATGCTTCCTCTCTGACTCCTGGGGATTCAAGCACTCCGTCTTGATCAGCAGTAGGAGTTGTTTCCACCTGTGCACTTGCTCGACACTGTTACAGCCCCCATTCTGCCCAGCACAAAGTCTTCTTCACACATGTAACATGAGAGTGCTTTAAAACGCTCATGAAAAGAGACAGGGATACAACACAGCACATAACTCAACTCTCAGGACACCCACATCCCGTACTGGAGTGACTGGTTCAAGTCCCAGCTACTCTGTTTCCCAACCAAATTCCTGCTAATATACACTCTGGGAGTTAACAGGTGGTGGCTGAAATACTTGGGTCCCTGACATCCACATGGAAGACCCAGGTGGATTTCTGGGCTCCTAGCTTTGGCCTGGCCCAGTCCGTGCATGGCTGTAGTGAGTATTTGGGTAGTGGGCCAGCAGATGGAAGATCCATCTCTGTCTACATCTCTCTTTCTAAGAAAGGGAGTTCTTGGGGGGGAAAAAATGGAATTCAAAGATAATTTTGGCAAAAAAATTATGAAACCCTTGTATGTATTTATTTTCATAATATATATTTTCCAGGAATGTTTTGAAGACTCCAGATGCATTGAAGATTCCAGCTGGTTAAAGTTAGGGACCTTGCCCTGCTCTACGGGGTCTAATCCAATGGTTTGACCCAGTGGTCTTGGTCTCTGCCACGTCTGAGGGATTCCCCAGAAACAGAAGGTGACATGAAAATGCTAACGAAGTGATTTAGTGAGTGCTTCCTGAAAACTGTGGGGGAAGGGCAGAGAAGGGAAGGAGATTACACAAAATACCTCTCCCTGTCCCCCGGAGGCATCTGCAGCCACACCCCAGTAGGATCTTGGGAGCGTATGTTAAGCCTCAGAGTTGTTCCCACTAAAGAAAATGGAGAGAGGCCTTCATGCTCATGTACTGGCTAACGACTTTATACCAGGAAGAGAAAAATTCTCAGCCTGCCCTTCCAACCTAAAAGAAACACCCAAGGGGATGGTGCTGTGGTGTTGCATGTTAAGTCACTGCCTGCAGCACCGGCATGCCATATGGGCACCGGTTTGAGTCCCAGCTGTTCCACTTCCTATCCAGCTCTCTGCTACTGTGCCTGGGAAAGCAGCAGAAGATGGCCCATGTGCTTGAGCCCTGGCACCCGCATTGGAAACATGGAAGAAGCTCCTGGCTCCTGGCTTCGGATTGGCCCAGCTCCTGCCATTGCAGCCATCTGGAGAGTAAAGCAGAGGATGGAAGATCTCTCTCTGTCTCCATCTCTGTCTCTCCCTTTCTCTCTCTGTAATTCTGCCTTTCAAATAAATAAATATGTCTTTTAAAAAGAGAGAGGAAGGAAGGACAGAAGAAAGGAAAAGGAAAGGAAAGACCCAAGAAGCACTCCCTTTTGACTGATGGAAGCGAAAGCACCTTGAAGCTGGCAGGGAGTGGAAGGCACCAGACAAGAATGGTAACGTGGCATCCACAGAGACCTGGGAGGGGCAGGAATGTCATCCAGTGCTGCCTCTAAAACTTTCCGCCTTCTAGAAGCTGAATTCACTGCTGAATCACACTAGGAGAAGCAGAGTCAGTGACTTCTCTAAGAGGCTTGTCACCTCATATGGGAGTAATAGTTAATTCTGTATCATGTGATAACTGATAGCAAGTAGACTTCATTTTAGTTCTGAATTGATTGGTTGGAGCCTCCCTCACCAGTTGAAAGGAAAGGTGCACTTAAATTGGAAAAGTGCCACGTTCAATTAGTGATGCCTGCCGCCACGCAAATGAGAAAGCAATCACAATACTATGAGTAAATGTGATGTCTAAGGTCCCTTTGGGATGCCAAGGAGAAAAGTAGTATTTATTTATTTGTTTGTTTGTTTATTTATTTATTTATTTTTTGACAGGCAGAGTGGACAGTGAGAGAGAGAGAGAGAGAGAGAAAGGTCTTCCTTTGCCATTAGTTTACCCCACAACGGCCGCTGCGGCCAGCACGCTGCAGCCGGTGCACCGCGCTGATCCAAAGCCAGGAGCCAGGTGCTTCTCCTGGTCTCCCATGTGGGTGCAGGGCCCAAGCACTTGGGCCATCCTCCACTACACTCCCGGGCCACAGCAGAGAGCTGGCCTGGAAGAGGGGCAACCGGGACAGAATCCGGCGCCCCGACTGGGACTAGAACCCGGTGTGCCAGCGCCACAGGTGGAGGATTAGCCTAGTGAGCCGTGGCGCCGGCCAAAAAGTAGTATTTTTAAATACTGATGCCCATCTCCCAACATTCCAGTCTAACTGGTCTGAGAAGGG